TCTATCTATCTATCTATCTATCAATGTATCTATCTATCTGTTTATCTATCTATCTACTTATCTTTTTGTCTGTCTGTCTTTTTGTCTGTCTGTCTGTCTGTCTGTCTGTCTGTCTGTCTGTCTGTCTATCTGTCTGTCTGTCTGTCTGTCTGTCAATCTATCTTTATCTTTATAGTATACAAAATAATATACATACATTATATATATATATATATATATATATATATATATATATATATATATATATATATATATATATATATATATTGTGTGTGTGTGTTTGTACATGTATGTACATGTATGTATATACACAGTGGCGTCCAAAATAAACTTGAAAGTGTAATCACCCAATCATCGCGTTAAAGCCTTGCACTACCCACTCGTGCAGCATACCAATTTAAAGCTAATTAAATTCTGCATCATCTGACACATTAATATTCATCTGTTTTAAGACACACCCGAGATATGGTTACTCAAAATTGACTTTAAAAATACAGGCTTGGTAAAATTGTTCTCGTGCCTGTATTGAGGACCATCAATATTGATAGAATGGACATACATTGCATATCCAGTGTATGGAGAATTATGTTTCGGCAATAAACAATATTTCATTGCGATTGTTTCAAACAAAATGGAAAACAGAGCAATCACAAACACCACCCAAAACTAGGACTTAAAATTAAGTGGTCGCGTTTAAGCACAAGGGGGCTATCCCGAAAAAAAATGCTATTTTGAGAAAATCGGAGGTAAAGTTTTTGGACTCATTAATACTACCTCTGCGTATTTGTTTTCAAATGAATTCTTCTGTGGTGTTGCATATGAGTCAGTTATGACCTTGTCTGCGTATACGTATAAATTTCTGACCCGTATTTACTCGATTAAAAAGAAATTAGATTAAAAAGTTCGGTTGGATCAGTTGTGCAGATATGCAGAAAACGCTTTTGAAGCAAATTTGGGGGCGAAATGAGCTATCCCATCCAAAAATAAGGCATACCTTTCTATCTGGACTATTCCTGCATTGAAGTGATATACAAATGGCCAATCCCCTGTACCCACCAAGCTTGTCAACTCTTTATCATAGGTGTAAATGGTCTAGCCTAGCCACATGAGCATTGCATTTTAGGATTTTCTACCAAACAGATTGGTACTATTATGTGGAACAGTACTCAAGTGAAAGCTGATACAGTACAGAAAAAAACTGATTTTTAACAAATTACTTGATATGAGAATCTCGTAGCCTTTGGAGTCATTTTCAACAGTGACAAGCAGTGAACTCTTCATTTGGGGTGTCGGCCATTTTTGGGGGGTTAGCCCATTTTACAAATTTCAAAAGTTTGCAGTTTCTTTTTAAAAGACAAGGAGAGTTTGCTCTATAACCAAACAAACATACACACCAATGAAACCAAACTTCTCCTATAAATAGGACAATGCCCACTTTTGGTGTAGGTTCAAGATTTTTGGAAACCTCCGAAATCTGGGTTAGCCCTACCAAATGTGCTCATTATCATTCAGCCCAAGAACCATTGGTTCTGTGTAGAGCACGAATCCTTTGGGCATCGAATCTATTACATTTTGGACATGATTGCCTGTCATTTCACCTCAAACGTCAGAGAAAGTTTCAAACAATTGGTCTGAACTGGGAGCAAAACCTTCAGTTGCTGTTTCATGGAACTTCACATACTCGTAGGATTCATATCGGGATATCCAAGCTACTTACTGGCGACCACTCCGACGTTGATATGATTTGGTTTTCCAAGAATTTCCTAGGGGTATTGGCACTGTAAGAAAATGTTCTGCTATGCATGGAGATGTCTATTTGAATGACACCATATGACGAAAATAATTGTAAGACTTGACGTTTCATGATCCAGCACTTGCCCAACGTAGTCCACTGAACCAAGCCATCCGGGGATTCTCATGTGGGCGGTTTTGTTCATTCTACCCCAGACCACCCAAAACTATGGCAGTTTCGTGGCCTCTTTTCCTCACTGACAGATTATTAAGTGTAAAATTTAATACAGTCCATGTGCAAAAAAGGTTTCGTGCTCTACACGAAACCAATAGCACCTAAACAAAAAACACAAATGTGCACATGTAAAGTTAAACCGGGATTTGCGTGGTATTTGTGACTGCTCTGTTTTCCAATCAATTTGAAAACATCAACAGAAGATGTTGTTCATTACAATGGCAAAATTTTTTTCTTTTCATTTGATATTCATTCAATACGTGTCCGGTTCCCCCAATGGTGACCTCGAATACTGATGCAACCTCAATATACGCCGCACGCGCGAACACACTTTTACGTATTTTTTTTATTTCACACAACTTTGCAAAGCCTGATTTTTTAAGGTCAGTTTTGAGTGACCATGTCTCGGGTGTCTCTTAACATAGATGAAATATTGATGTGTTGTATGATGACAAATCTATATAGCTTTAAATTGGTAAGCTGCATGAGCGGGTAGTGCAAGGCCAGAGCGCGATGATTGCGAGATTACATGTTCTAGTTTCTTTTGGACACCACTGTATATCATCATCTTCATCATCAATACCTTTCACCCCTGGCAGGACATAGGCCACATACAAGCTCCTTCCATTTATCTCTGTCCTGGACCATCCTTCCAAGCTCGTTCCAAGTCCAAGTGAGCTTCATCTCTTTCATGTCCCTTTCCGCGCATCTCCTCCATGTTTCCCGTGGCCTACCCCTGCCTCCTGCTCCTTGTGGGTTCCACTGCAGTGACTGTCTTGTGATGTTTCCGCTGGGCTTTCTTAAGGTGTGTCCCTTTCAAACCGCCACTTTTTTAGTCCTATTTCTACTTCTATATCCTTTTGTCCTGTCCTTTCCCACAGCTCTTCATTTCTTATTCTATCCTGCCACTTAATTCTTAGAATACTCCTCATACCACTGTATATATTATATAATAATACATATACACGTATGTGATATATGTGGGGCTGGGGGTATTATCGAATACCATGTATCATTTTTCTTTTAATTCCCATCTTTCTCTCACACTCGTTATGCTATACTCTATATTATAGTGTATTTAAATATGTATTTAAATCATTGGCCACCTCTGTTTCTCTCTGTCCCTCTCTTTATCCCCCCCCCCTCTCTCTCTCTCTCTCTCTCTCTCTCTCTCTCTCTCTTTTTTTTTTTTCTTTCTCTCTTTCTCTCTTTCTCTTTCTCTCTCTTGTTTACTCTTTTGCTTTGAAGATTGTTCATGTGTGAACGTGTGTGTATTTGCTTGTATCTGCATGTGTGTGAATGTACGCATAAGTGTCCGTATGCTTGTGAGTGTGTACACGTGTGTGTGCCAGTGTTTATTTATTCCTGTGTGTGAGTGGGTGGTTGACGGGTGCTCTGGTGTGGTTTCCTCGTTCATTCCTTATCTAGTCCTTTCTCTCTCCTCCTTAATTGTGTTTGTTACTCTCTTGTAACGCCTCTAATCCTCTGCATTTATAATAATATGACCTAATTGTGTTGCAAGTGCTTCATAACGCTTTCTAAAACAAAACGTGTGTGTGTGTGTGTGTGTGTGTGTGTGTGTGTGTGTGTGTGTGTGTGTGTGTGTGTGTGTGTGTGTGTGTGTGTGTGTGCACATCTATGTATGTGTGTGTGTGTTGGTTGAGTATATGTAATGGTCATAATTTATCAGATAATCTCCAATTTGTCAGGTCTAATTGAGTTCTCTTCCGCGCCGGTCTACTCGGGCACCAAACATGCAGTGCGGGCTTTCACGTCGTCAATGGCCGTAAGTGAATGTTTTTGTTTCATATACTTCGTTATTGTTGCTGCAGTTGGTGATGTTATTGTTGTTGTCATCGTCGTAATCTTCATAATCGTCGTTGCTGTTAACACCGTTGTATTTGTAATATTGTTGTCGCTACTGTTGTTGTTGTTATTTATGTTGTTGCTGTTGTTGTTGTTGTTGTTGTTGTTGTTGTTGTTGTTGTTGTTGTTGTTGTTGATACGGTTGATGTTGTTGTTCTTATTTTTGTTTTTGTTTTTCTTGTTGGTAGTGGTAATGGTGGTGGTGTGTGTGGTGTGTGTGTGTGTGTGTGTGTGTGTGTGTGTGTGTGTGTGTGTGTTGTGTGTGTGTGTGTGTGTATGTGTGTAAGGGGGGGGGGTTGTTTGCGGCAACGGAATCATTAGTTTGCGTCGCTTATTCGTGACCTTTGGTTTCCGAGAAGATAGTCAGATAAATGTTGTGGTTGTCCTCGATCTGTTAGTTTGAATGGCAAATGTTAGTGACCTGTTCTTTATAGTTTACAGTAGTGCTGGGCGGCTAGGTTCGCTATTATTGAAAGCTAGGAATCGTAGGAATCGACTCGGAACCCAATTACTTACTTTCTAGTGATATTATGATTTCTTCCGGAGGTTACCTGGTTGGCTCTAAACATCTTCAAGATTTAGGATGACCTTGATTTCGGAACACTACAAAGCATCAACTTTTATTTTTCAAAAATAAATTCTTTTTTAAAAAAAGAAGATTTTAGTGATTAAAGTAGCAGACAACGTTGGTTTACATAAAAAGGAGTCGGAACTTTTCTTCAGCATTAATCGTGGGAATCGGTTCCGGAATCGCCCAGCTCTAGTTTACAGGGCAGGAAGGAATAACGTACCAAATGTCCTTGGCAGAAAAATAATGCGTCGGGACAATCTGTCGTTGATAATAGAATCTGTTACAAATATTTTTTGTATAATGTTCCTTTGGATTGAAGTCCATACTAGTGCTCCACCTGTACCCTTTTTTAATATTAAGTCAGTTTCTTAGAGAGCATTATTTGCCCCCCCCCCCACCCCACAACCTAGACAATGCTACTGAATATATTAACATATTCTTATGCTCAGTAGAATTGTAAGTGGGCTGATTTGTCAGTGTCATGCTCACACTGTGCCGGGACAACACAGGGGGAACTGCTGCTTTTTCTTTCCTCATCCTTACTATCGTCATTTCTCCTCTACTTCTTTTGAATATTTGTCACTCTCTCGGGAACTGTTATTTCCGAGGTGCCTTGATCGCTGCCTGCCTTGATAATCGAAGCAGACTTTGAGCTGTTGAGGCTAGAGAGGTGAGCAGAGTGATCCTGATTCCCCGTTTTGACTTCTCTGTTGGCATCCACCCCTTAGCGCTCATAATATGACCTTACGCAGTTGCGAGCGCCGTAAAACCTTGCTGAAACTAAAAAGAGAGCATTGGCTGTAATTTCAAGAGAAGAAGCGTTTCGGGTTGGGTTTTTCCTCATTCACTGCTGTGAATCGAGGTTTTTTTAATACGTTTGTTGGTTGGTTTTTATATTACTTCTAGGCTGGAAATCTTTTCTTCTCTCGTGTGGGCAGTCGGACAGACGATAAGATAAGATGAGACAATATAAGATAAGATAAGATAAGATACATCTTTACTGTCCATATCTTGGCACATTGGTTTGGTGTTTCACCACGTGCACACATACACACACACACACACACACACACACACACACACACACACACACACACACA